ACTTAATTATAATTGTTTCATTGCCCTTTCAAATCTGTGTAACTAATTATCCCTCCACACAAGTTGAATAATTCAGTAAACGTGCAGTTCAAGTTACTGTATTGAATGAGGTAACCTCATAACCACCATAAAAAACATGAAATAAATCTAAATTACCTTTTTTTCTTTAAAAATGACTGCAAATTGTAACTACAATTGTTTATTTTAAGTAGCTTAAATCTCATGACAGTACAGCTGTTTGTACTTAATTATATTTGTTTCATTGCCCTTTGAAATGTGTGTAACTAATTATCCCTCCACACAAGTTGAATAATTCAGTAAACGTGCAGTTCAAGTTACTGTATTGAATGAGGTAACGCCCAAGCTGCTCGTGAGCATACCTTGTGAAGTATTTTTATTATTATTGTTTTCATTATCTTACCTAATTTAACCTAATACATTTTTACATTTACAGTTACTTTCATAATAATAAATAAAGAATACACAAAATACAAAATATTGTACTTACCTGGATCTTCTCGTTTTTTTTTTTTGTTGTCAACTGTCGATGACACTTAGGTCTACTTTTTATACTAATGGTACAACCACACTGAATAATTTTTTATTTAATTAAATAATGCACCTAAGAACACAAAATTGTAATATGCAAACAGCATACAATGTCCCGTAACTATCATAATTACTCCCTTTCCCCCTGTGGATGCCCATGTAACTATATTTTGATACCAAGTTTATTCATATACAATGATAATAAAGTAATTTAATTAAATTTTGAATGTAATTCTCTAAAAAGTTGGGACATGCACACTTTGACCTGTCTGTATTAAGAGGGTCGAAGACCAAGAACATGCAGTCTGTGGTAGTAATGCACAGATCACCAATTTGAAGAAGTTTAAAAGAGAATAAGAAAAGAGACTTAATAATGTTTTCACTTTTTTAAACTTTAGTTCACATGTTTAGAGTGAAATTTTCAAAGAGATTTGACTTAAACTGAACTATATATATAAACTTACAAATTTGCAAAAGTAATTTTATTTTTCTTGTCTATGATGATTTTCTCTTGCTCTAACCTTTGTTGTCAAATGTTTACAGTGCTTCTTATTAGAAATGCATTCTCTGTGGTAACAACTATTTTTCTATGATTAAATTAATAGATTTTAGTATTCTATGGCCAATTTGCCTTTGAGGAAGGCTTAATTTACCTTCCTTCTTCAAAATCAGCTTGGAAACACACCATATCCGCTAAACATTTTAACACAGTATTGCAACATTCTAAGGTCTGCCCTTGTTTATGCCATCTGATGTTTCTTCTCTAAATTACTTGCACCTTAAATCAATTATGCTAAAAAAAACCTATAAGACTAGACTGTAGAAAAACTCATCCATTTTGACTACTTCTCAACCTCAATGTAATAATATATTTATTGTGTATCCATATTTTCTGTATTTGATAATGATTAGATTGTGTTTCTTAAATTGTTTTTTGCATTTTCAAAATTGCTTTCAAACAGGCTAAACGAAAATGTTGTTACAGTATTTGAGATGATCGTATTACTCAGTTTATAATTGACAATATTTATTCCATTATTAGGTATAAAATTTCATTTTTTAAATATATATATATATATATAGATCTGAATTTAATTTTGGCTGCCTCAATACATTTTTCATTCTTGCATGTCTATGTGTGTATAAACAAGTAAAATTACCTAATGTTCATTAAAGGTAAGAAATAACTAATATAATACAAAACATTCACTGATAGTATTTAAAGGAACTAACACTGAACCTTTCACAGACTAATTAACTCTCTTAAACTTCTGCTCCAGATTTTCATTTTTAACATTAATGACTTGGCCAATATTGTGTTTTATCCCATAGCGAATTTCTCATCTACAGTGTGTCACAGTTGTATTATATACATAAAACACTACTTACTCACTTGTACAATTTTTCAGAAATCATACACAAGGATAAATACAAAATTGAGTATATATATATTATGTAGTTCTTACATTTCACATGATACAATTGTTGTCAATCAAAGTTTGCTGTTTTTTTCTCTCGTACTTGAGTCAGCCATATACTAGCTAGAACTGTGAATGGGCCATAGAAGTTGGATTCAGGGTTGTAACTGTGTTGGGTGGGGCCACCCAGAACTTGTTCAACTTGCCCAACACTCCTGTGCAATGTGACTACTGCCGCCCGGCACTAAATATCACTGAGAAAAAGTTCACCATAAGCATTAAAAATTTCTTTGTCAATGTCACAGTACAGTTTACTTCACAATTAGCTTGTTAGAAACAAACAATTTCCCAGAAAAGTCATAAAGCAAATAACCTAACTTTTTTAAACTTTTCGGGATATCTAAAATATAAAAGTATGTCAGTGTGTATTTTTGCATAAAAGGTTTTTTTAATCTCATTTTGACTAATTTGTATCAATTAACTGCTCTTAAAGATAGATCACTCAGAATAATTAAACTCAGCCTAGGGTGAAATTTATCTAGGCCTTTATATTTTTAGACGCATCCATCACCTTATAACACGTGTTTGCGTAGTGACTACTCGTGTGAATTGTTTTATCAGACTTTCCAAAGGAATTTACAAATTTTCAAAGTCATTCAGATTATGACACATTAAAATTATAAACATGAAAATAACATCTATAGGCTAGACTGGTTTTTACCATCCACAAATCAAGTCATTCTAGATACAATGTGGTTGGAGGGAATGGAGAAGCTGTGTACAGAATTTTTTTATTGTCTTGTTTGTTGCCACTGGTAGGAAAATGCATGTATGCAAATTGTAGTTGATCGTGCATTTATGGTATACATTTTTTAGAAACCCTGCACAAATTCTGCATCCATACAGTAAACGTACATTTTTGCATAAATTTTAAAATTTCACCTCTAAGCACCTTGAAATAAAAAAATCCGAATTTGGAAATATGTGTGGAGTATCAGCTGATAATCTTGGGGGTTGTGCCAAAAGGTGCTGACACCTCATGTGGAGACCTGTTGTCTCTAGTCGTACTGCTGTTCCTAGTAGTTTTCTGGCTGTGTGTTGTCCTATTGATTGGTAGAGTATATTGCACTTTTATAATATATCTTTCTTTTCTTTTGTATTTTAATAGCTAGCTCGATGTATACATTGTCTTGAGAAATTTGCAGAAACCTATCGTTTTCTTCCAACTCTCGGTTTCACCCACATGCAGTAAGTATTTCCTATTTCATTTGTGAAGTTTTTGGGCCTAACTCTGTTTGAAGTACATGTATTTCATCCATTTTATCATAAACTGTTTCAAGAGATACTTCCATATTCCCTCCTCCTCTTAGCAAAATAAGTAAAAGATCTTGGATATATTGTACATTTAAGAATAATAATCTGGGAAATTTTAAGTGTCTTTTTAAGAATTAAAATAAGGAGGGGGACATGTAAAAAAATATAGAAATTTATTCTTTTAAACATAAAAAAATGAATTTACTGCCACTTAACCAAATAAACAGTTAATAATATAAAAACATTGGGAAAATATTAAAGAAATACACCATAAGATAATGACAGAAATTGTGAAAGTTAGGTCTATGTTTAAACAGCCCCAAAAGTTGCAGTAAGTTCAAGTTACTTAAGACTGAATTTAAACACATAAATCCCTAAAAATGCTGCAGTAAACATGAAAGTTAGGCTTACTCTGTTTCCAAGTACTTTTGCCAGAAAAATCTGAGGCATCAAATATAAATCTACAAGTTACAATTTACCAAATAACGTAATCCCATTACATCTTTAAAGTAACAAATGTGCAAAAGAAACATAAGTGAACTGTACTAACAATCATCAGGAAAAACATACATATGTTAAATAAATAGCTTCATCGAGATTTACTGAATTTTTCTATTTGAAGCAACTAGTAAACTTGACAGATTGCAGAGTTACTTATTAAATACATTTGTTTCTGTTATTAGTAACAGTTCTAATTTTGTGTTTCCATAAAGCTCTCCAAGTTATTACATGTTTGCCATAGTTATATTCATTGTTCAGCTATGAATTTTTCAGAATTTAATTGAAAATTACCCTCATCATGATATTCTCAAACTCAAAACTATTGAATATAAAAATCAGCAGTTTTTTTTTATCATTTAGTGAACAAAGTATTAATAAATTTAGATTAAGAGTAATAAACTAGCATTTAAGATTACATCTTATGATAACTTCAAGTTAAAAAAAGGCATAAAATGTAGTAAATTCACATTATTGAAAATGTTTGAACCCCATGATTATTTTTGTTATGTTTCTGTAGAGAGAGACATACTGTTTTTCTGTTGTTTCCTCTATTATTTTTTTCTTTCTTTATTCTTCCAAACACTTTTCAGCTGACTGTTATTCCTTCATTTCTTGGCAGATTGACTTAAAACTTGGTAGAGTTATACCTTGGTTTAATACATCCGGACACCTTTTTTATTTTATTTTTATTTAGGCCTTTTTGAGGATTTTTAAGGGGTGAAAGGTCAAACAACTGGGCTCCTATGTAGTCATATATACAGCAAGCAAAATGGAAATTGGCATAAATATAGGTTTTCATGTGCTCAACACATTGACATTATAGAAAGTTGGAATTGATTATTATGAGTTTTTTTTTTTAGGGGAGTCAGAGCTCACCAAAAAGTATAATTTTGGGTTTTTGGTTAATTACTCGGCTGTATTTGGACGAATTTACATGGAATGTGGTATAAAGATACTTTTTAAGGTTCCACACATTCACGAACAAAAATGGTGGACTTTCCCATTTTTAGTAATTATAGCGAGATCTAGATGCCACAAAAAGCATAATTTTAAGGGATTTTTGACAATTACTCTACCATATTGTGGCTAATTTACAAGGAATTTGGTACAAAGATACTTTTTTGTTTTACAGGTCCCAAACAGAAATTGGAAACATTGTTGGAATTTTTGTCTTTTGCTCAAATTTTCAGCAAGGAAAGCACAATTTGGAGTTTTCATGAACTATTCATGTGTATGTCAACCAACTTACTTTGGATTTGTAACAAAGATATCTTCTTGCAGGTCCTGAGCAGTGATTTAGACAGTTTTTTGATTTTTCTAGTGTCAAAATTGGCCATGTTGTGGTTGCGTGGCAGAGACATGCTGCATTCACCTACGATCATTGGCTTTTTTCATTTCTAATAGCATCATTCCAAGTAAAAGAAAAGCTAAAATGCTTTAAAATGTTTAACCCTGTTAGTATTTTTATTATTTTCACTAATAAGAAAAGAAAAAAAAAGGCTTAAAATGTAGAAGTTTAGTTTCATCTAACTCTTACGTGTATATAGACAGTTCATAATTTTTTATTCAGGACTAGGCCTAGTTAGAATGGTTAAAATGCACCAGTATGTGAATCTGAAAATTCATTGTTAACAGTCTTTTGCTACAAAAACATACTCTACACTTGGGGCTATGAGTGTGATACAAGAGTGATGGTCAAATCCCACTATTTGAACAAATAAAGGTGGCCCAAAATTGCCTTTTTTATCTTCCCTCTAGTCTATTATTCAAAATTAGGAATAGCTATAGATTAATATTCTGAAACAAGCTAATTTTTTTGAATAAGAAAGACATGTTTATGAAGAACAATAATTTTGGCTAAATAAGTTAATTGCTGATTGGTAATTTTTCTATATCACTATATGAATATCCATATTACTTTTAAATACTAACTATATTACACTGATAATAAACAAAATGGCATTCAGTGATGCACACCAGTATAGAGATTGTAGAATTTATTTACCGTATTAACAACAGTGTCTTTTAATAACCATTTAGTTTAAATTTGGCACTAATCAAACTCCATATATGTAAACCAAGTCATAAAATTTTGCTATTGAGAGAAATAACATATGGAAACTTAAAATATAGCCGGCAAATTATATGGTAAAAGTGAACACTTCTATTATGAGAAGGATTACTGAATAATGAATACATATACATGGATAGGAAACTTTCATAGTAGGTACAGAAATCCAGAACAGAACCAGTATGGAAAAGCAGCAAAAAATACAAAAACAAGTTGGATATGGTTTGTCTGGCGATTTTATTTTATTTTTCTTACTCAAGCTATCTTTTTAATACAAGCACCTGCCTGCACAGTATTTTTGTTCCATGAGTCTGTTACTTTTATAATTACTGTGTGTATGTTGGGAAAGATTTGTTTGTTAAAGCAAAGAAATTTTCAGTACCAGAAAAATTCTAACTTTGGTAACTTTATGAAAATTTTACGATTTGAAGGTCCCCAGAAAATTGATATTATAAGGACGTGTATATTTTTAAGCTTATAAGCTTTAGGTAAATAATGTCTCATAATGATCAGATTGAAATTGTAAATCTTAAAAACTTTGAAGAATTGCTTAAAGCATTGAATATCCTGTTAAACAAAATATATTTGTACCAACAAAACTGGTGCCAAAAAGATGTGTGAAATTATATATATATATTGTTACAATGTAGGATTATGTGTACCATATCATGGAATTTAATTCTGCTAAGCCTATGTGGATGAAATGGCTCTTCATCTATGATCAGTTTCTCTCAACATTAAACACAAAGTCACAAGCCTATAAAAAAGGTTAAACAGTTTAACAGCCTTTTTATACACTGATTGTTATATATGTAAATGCTATTGATTAAAAAAGAATGAAATTGCAATATAGCATCTCAAGAAATATCCAGTAATGCCTCAAATGAAAAGTACTTTTTTTTCAACCTAGCAGTCATCTATTTAAATATACTAATATTTTTTGTTCCTTTACTTCTATTAGCCATGGTTGGAACTTGAGCAACCTTCTGTTATTCTGTAAATGTGAATTTGTTTATTTTTCTAAGTTAAGTTATCGTTATCTCCAAAGACCAGCGCAGCTAACTACAGTTGGAAAACGAGCATGTCTGTGGGTTGCGGACCTGCTAACTGATTTGAAAAACTTGGAAAGAGCTAGAAATAACTTGAAATTTAGAGGTGTCAAAGGAACAACTGGGACACAGGCCAGTTTTTTGCAGTTATTTGAAGGAAATGAAGAAAAGGTATACAGTATGACTAAATGTTCTTCATAATAAAAAAAAAAAGGTCACAAAACACTTAGAATCTAGACATATAATTTGTAGGTCATTACAAGTTATGGGTTAAGTAACTTCAAAAAGTATGATACTGTTTTAGCTGATATTTAGTTTAATGTTGTGTACAGCAAAATTTTATACTCTTCAATTTACTGCAAGCCAAGTGGGTGAAAATCTAAATATACATAAACTTAATTTTGCCCAGTAAGGAAGAAGGAAAAGAAAAATATTTCTGAGTATCATCTTGTAGAATATTCCTCTTTTTTTTTGAAAGTCTGTACAAATACTATGCATATTATAAACAAATGGCTATAAATTGTGTTTGTGTTTTTTCACACACCAGGGCCATAGGAAGTGGTAAGGTCAGTCAGGCCATGGCCTAACTACTGTTTCATGGCATGTATAGCTATGACTTATGTGTTAAAACTTTCTTCTTTTAATTCAATACATTATATTGTGTGTATGTAGCATTTGTAGACAAAATGGCTCAAGATTCAATCTCATAGTATTAAATTTTCAAAAATGTTCTGGAGAGGGGGCATGTCTCCAGACCCTCCCTAGAAATGGTCTGATCACTCCAAAATTGCTTCCTATGGCAATGCACACACTATTGAACCTTTGATATGAAAGAAAAAATAGTGTACCAAAATCAACAAATTTTAATCCAAGTAGAAGTTAATAAAAAAGTTGTAGAAACATAATTTTTATTTATTTTATAACGTGGAAAGCTACTTTTGCAGTAATTTGGTTATCATTAAATACCGTTGTATTACAGTTGGTATTTAACTCTTTCACTGTTATGGGAAAATACAAAGCACTTCCATAAGAGTTTAGAATTTTCTACAAGCATGGAAACATGATATTCCCCTTCAAACTTCCCAAAGATTACTAATTTCAAGTTTCAAATAATTAATGAAATATTAAAATTTGTGTCTTTTTGTTATTGCATACCTGGAACTGGGAGAGTTCTTTATCTATAAATGTGGCAGTGAAGGAGTTACTAATGACAACAAGGTATCACTCAAATTCCTGATGTGAAACCTTTTGTATTTTCCTATGGATCCTGTGAACATTTAAGACAGCTTATGTCTCACTTCAGTACCTTACATTTGATATCAGAGCTTATAACAAGCTTGATTGAAGTACTGGCATACTTTGAGATAAAAGAAATTGCTAAAGTGAATAATGTGAAAGCACTGGACAGTTTTCCAGTGAAGCTCATCATTGACCAGATACTGAACTATGTGTCCGATACAAAAGATAGTAGAATATGTGAGGAGCATTTTCAGCATGGATTAACCATAGAACTGCCTAAACACAACAGAAAATCTAAAGTAGGCTTAATGCAAGATAAACCTATTAATGTTAATGATATATACATATTTTTTGGTGTATTTGTAAAGATTATTTTGTTTGTTTTTCTGTAAGATTGTTACTTAGTTCACATTGTTTGAAATCAAAATGGTTCCATTTAAGTCTGATTTCTTATTGCAAGACCATTGTCACAGAAGGGATCTTGATCTGTTAAAAAGTAATTATATTTATCAATTGTTAGAGAGCACTGAAGAGTAAAGATAATTGAAAGCTAAGCATCAGAATTTTATTTTTTTATTTAATTTCAAATCAACTTGAGAGTATAATAGTCAACTTGGATCAATTTACTTATAATGTCCTATTTTTATACTAAAGTAGGCTTACATTTGTTTGCCCTGTTGGTATAGTGTCAAGCAAATACATTAGGTAGTAAATTAGTAGGATTGTTTGTTAACTATTAAGACATTAATTTCTGGGAAGATGATAAAATTGAACAAGATCATTAGGCCTAATTACTGTTTTGCACCTTAAAAGAAATTACATTGAATTATATTAAAAAGGTAAGAAGCATCTGGCTTAATTAAGTCTTTATAGCTTTTGTTCCCAGTGGTTGTAGTTAAAAATATTAATGTTCTTATTTCCTTATAGAAGTTCTAATTGATTGAGTTGCTTTGGGAATACAATGGTTAACTTTAATTCACTTGTGTAGTTATAAACTAGATTGATACTAGGCTAGGTTTGCACTCATTTGCCTTATTTCTATAGTGTCAAACAGCAATCAGCAGTCATGATCTCCACTTCTATATATTAAAATAGTAACCCTTCTTTATTTACATTGCAGGCTTTCAAGTGTCCTTAAATTCCTAGATATTTTGGATTTTGCAAAAACTCCTAAAAATGGTAAAAAAAAAAAAAAGTAGTAGTTTTCTAAAAAAGCACTAATTTTTTGAATAATTCCTAAATTTTGTATATCTCTTACCAAGAAACTGAATTATATAAACAATTGTTTGTGACATGTTTCTTTTAAATATCCATTTAATCAGTGAAGTATTTTGGCAGATTCTGTTTCCAGCCAGTTATTCCAATGAATCCTCATCTTCACTTTGGTGATCAGCACACTTCAAAAATGAATACCAATAGTTACATATCTACTCTTTTAATGTGGTAAGTAATAATTAAATAGAATTGTTTCTGTAATATTCACAATGAAGAACAATGGAGGGAATGTAGTAGTGCTACTTCCACTCGTACCTAGGTCTGAGTAAGAAAGTTGTAGCACTTTGCCTTACCAGTTTAATGGTAAAGTGAAATCTCTCAAAAAACAGTCTTGTCTATGACTAAGTTTTCTATTGAAATACAGGGATGACCAGTGATTTTAGTGTAGCTACTTGCTGAGAGATTGTTTTTACTGTTTGTTGAAGTAAGTGTTGTTTTTGAGATTATGTATGGAGACCTTTAATTACAGCTTGGATGTTGAAACATATTCATGCAAAATACCGCATGGACAAATAAATCTTATTACTAATGGATTGAACAAAGTGATTCACAGGGATTTAAAGTGGGAAATTCATACTTCTTCAGTAAAAGGATTTTCATATTCTAAAAAAAAATCATTCCTTGTTGAAAACTTTAGATTTAAACAAGTTATTATGCACTTTAAAAGATTCAAACACTAGACTTTGGCTAAAGCTAAATTTGGCACAAAAGATAAATATTTCATTGTGAAAACCCTATCTGATGGCTCCAGTAGTGGGAGTACTAATGCTAGTGAGACACGGTGCTCGTCAGCTATGTCAGAAGGAGAAGTAAGCATGTTTTGTAGATGTGGATCAAAGTATCAGATAGTATGTCACACAAACGAAAGTTTTTTCGAAAACATGAAAGTTGCTCACAGCATTTATTCCTACTCTTCATTTGATGGCATTGCACAGTTGTTTCAAAAAATGTTTCCATAGAGAACTTTAAGGTGAGTAGAACTAAGATTTCTTACCTTATATTAGATATGATCTTATCAGATCAGAAATGAGAAGTTTTTGTTCAATTCTTGATGTTTGGTCTTACAAAGGGTGCAGATATTTAGAAAGGAATTAGACGTGTTACAAGCCAGCATTTTCCAGATTCCACTTAGTAACTTGCTTTTAACCTGGGGACAAATTGGCCCTAATGTAAATAAGACAGTTGGGAACTAGGTCAATGAGGAAATAATATCGTCAGGCCCTTCAGGTTTAATGTCTCTCATTTCCTGTAACACTATTCCTTTTTTATGGGTCCAAAAGTGTATGATGGAAATGCAGAGGAATTAGAAATTTATCTTCCCCCACTTCTTTAATTCATCAACTTGCAAAAGAGAAGGTGCAAGAGGAACGTGAACTTGATAACAATAATACCAGCTCTCCAGTGGACTGTGTACTTGAATATTTATTGACAGTCCTGCGAATTAAAGCTCTGGGCAACAAAACAACCAAATTTATTGATAAGAATGAACAGTATCTTTGTATTTGTTGGCTGCTGAAGACACCAACATTGGCACAAATTCATTTTCTTCTGAGTTTGAATTCTCTCTTTGAGAGACTTGTGAAGATGTTTCAGCAAGAGTATTTCTATATTCAGAAACATCAAGTATGCTCAAGTGTTTCATACTCAGATTTTTGAAAAGCTGTGTGATATCAGTGCTTGGTATTCATTGATGTTGAAAAGCAGACAATCAATTAGCTATCATGGAAATTGAGGAATTTACTCAATCATTGTTGCAAAAGAAGCCTGAACTTCAAAATCTTCCCACATTGAAAATTTTTGCACATTTTTCCACGTATCTCCAAAAGAAAGTCCCGTCTAACAATGATATGTTGAGAAATATGCCATGTCTTTGCCCTTGAATACAGAAAGAAGAGAATGGTGCTAAAAGAGTCTGGAACATTGTATCGAAAATACCTCAGATGGTTCAGGAGCATAAAAATGCACAGTTGGCAGAAGAGTGATAAATATATCACTTAGAAGGTATTTCTGAAAGCAAGATCAGAAAGCCTGAGTGGATCACTAATGGTATAAAGTTTTACGAAGGAAAATGGCTGTTGGATCTAAGAAATACATTATTTGGGCCAAGCTTGTGAAATCATTTTTGTTTCTTGACCAAGGCAATGGTGAAGTTGAAAGAAGCCTGTTTGAAAAAAAAAATGCTTACAAATGAAAAGACACTTATTTACAATAGTGAAGGATGCAGTAAAACTTCTGGAAGGCAAAGTTTCAGAAATGCCTCTAACAAAGACTTATAGAAGTAGGCAGGCATGCTTATGATGTGTATAAACAAAAGGGCAGACATGCTTATGATGTGTATAAACAAAAGCTTGATGATGAACAATAAGAATTTGAAAAGATCGGAATTCAAAAAGTTAAACAAAGGAAAGAGGATGAGCAAATAGAACTTGAAGAAATTAGCAGAGAGCTGGAAAAAACTAGGAGATAAGTAATGGCAGAAAAGAGAAACTATAGTCAACAGGAAAGTTGTTTGAAGGAGCTAATGAAAGGCTTTAAAAGGCAAAAAGTTGGATGAAGCATGTGATGGTGAGGGACTTATTGAGGTAGCAAAAACAAGAATGGAAGAAAAGTTAACATATAGAAAATTGAAAGAACAGGAAAGAAAAGACTGAACTTAATGCCAGAAGTAAAAAAAAATATGGTATGGTTTTTCAAAGACCCTAAAGAAAAAATTATCACTATCTTCTACCGTACATATAGTTTATTATTTCTGACCAACACTTTAGACTTGCAACTTTGCATAGTTGTTGTCATTGTCTCTAATATTATATTCACAGTTTGTTCATATTTTATGTTAACTACTCTCTTGGAATAGAGTTCAATTGGACTTGTGTCCTTTCTCTCGGTGTTTTTGAAAGTTGACCATTTGAGATAGCTCCCTAGTTTTCACGTTTCCTGACTTCAAATCAGAATTTGATTTTAACATTTCATCTATCAAACATGCAGTGATGGATTTATCAATTTACTATAGTTATCAAACTATGGTGCATAAGATTTACAGCAATATTGCTTGGAAGGTTTCTAGGTAAGGTGATAGCTGTTTTGCTTGAATAACAGTTTGTTTACGAGTAAACAGAGACGTTCTACTGAAGGCACTTGCTCCCTACAAGTTATTTTCTAGCTCTTATAATACACAAAGTTTTTAATTGTTAGGATAGAAAGAGTATGAATTTAAGTTTTTATAGTTTTCCTTTATTCAAATTTAATAAATAAACTGATTCTAATCAGTTGTTTCTTTTGGTGTTTTTCAAGTATGAAGTGTGCAATGGTAACCAATGCTGAAGACTAGGATTCAGAGGGAAAAATGGTTAAGAAGCAAATGCAATCATGTCTGTGAGTTAATTTAATGCTATTTGTGTGAAAAATGGTAAGTTTCTAATGCAGTTGTTTTGAAAAGAGTACCCTAAGAAAATCATAAATGACCCTAAAATTCCTAAATTTATCCCAAATGTTCACTTAAAGGTTCTTTTAAGCCTGTTGCTGGACACTTGTTGTAAAATTTTTAGTAGGTTACTGCCCACTGGTTGTCTCTGTGCGATTCAAAATTGGGGATGGCACCACATCACCTAGATAGCGCACTGACAAATGTACTGTGACAAGACTCCATAATTGGAGTAAGAAAAGCCCGTGCATTGACTGGTGCTAAAAACTTCTCTGTTGTGTAACCATAGCCATAATATGTTTACAACCATACCCGTGAATTCAGATTTCAATAAATATAACTGCTCATTGTTATGACATATAAGTCTGCACTTATTACAGCTTTTCTGTTTCTTTTGTATCATAAAGTACATAGAAATTGTGTTAAAAATACATGTATAGTGTGCATGTACACTGTAAATAAATCTTGGACAAGAAAATTCAATAGGCCTAAAAAATGGACTTTGAGATCTTGAACTTTCTTATAAGGTATTAATCATACGAGTCTCTCAAAATCCAAACCCAAGAAGGAGTAGGTAAGTGGTGAATGAACCAATATGCATATAGTCACTGAATTGTTAACAACTGTCTTGTAACTTGAATTACAAACATTTTAGACAAATTATGGATTTTCAATGATTACCAAAAGCTCAGCAACAAACAAAAATGCATATGAGACCTTAATTGTACAAGATTTAATTACCAACTTTGAACCACAAATACATTTGTATTTGATACAACATTTAGCAAAAGAATATGAAGTGAGTTTCATCAAAACATACATTAGCATCTTTAGAAAGATTTTGATGCTAACTTGATCATTTTAGTTTCGACTCTGTTAGAATAACTCTCATTTGCACAAAATGTGTAGCTGTCATCATCTAGAAGATTCCCTCAGGTGGAGAGCTATTGGTAGGCTGAATGGTTAACTCTAAATAGAAGTGTTGTTCCAGTCACTACTTGACCACATACAGGAGCATTTTAAGTGATGTGTTATGTTTCTTGGACACCATGTCAAATAGTCAAGTTCTTTTTAAAGATGAGTCAAAACCCAACCTACAATGCAACTCATTGCATACACTCATGTAGATCATGGAAAAGGTGGTGAAGGTTTCGTGGTCTGGGTGGGAACTTGCACGGGTGGACATACAAACCTCTGTGTGTTTGAGAGTGGTACTGTGACTGGCCGGAGATATAGGGATGAGATCCTGGATCCCTTATGTTAGACATTATGCAGGTGCAATAGGAAATAACTTTTTTTTTTAATAAACAGTAATACTTATCTACACGGTACATGTCATCAGCCAATATCTGTGTGACCACACCACCATCTGATTGAACTGGTCAGCACATTATATCTGACCTTAGTCCCATAGAGCATGTGTAGGATGCTCTAGGAAGATGTGTAGCCTCCTTTCAAAAACACTCCAATATATGGAAATTGCTTTGATACATCAGTATACTCTTTTGCCTTTTCGTCAATAATCTTATAAACAGTGTGAAAAGATACTGTGATGCATATATATCCATCAGGGGTACCACTTCTCTGTTGAATATTTCTTGCTCCTTGTCTTCAATTCTTCATTTTCAGGGGGTCATACTTTTCTTTGTGGACACTCATTAAATACTAAAGTTATATTTGTGTTGTTACAAGTTATATCATGTAAACATAGACATATTATCCAAATTTGGTGACTAAATATATTACCATTATTTATATTTTAGATTTGTTGAGATCTGTGGACTTTGATTATTCTTTGCTGGTGAAGAAATTTAAGTCACTTTGCATGTGGAATAAAATTCTATTAATGAATAAAAAAATGTAATATATTTAGAAAGATTGCAAAGTTCAGTGTTTTAACTTCTGAACTACTAGTTTTGATGTTTGCTTTTCATAAGCAGTGCTTATAATAAAAATACTTCATGTAACATACTCTTGAAATTCATAGATGTATAAAGTTTTGAGTAAACTGCCTGAACTTTGTTTAAAAGAATTAGTTTGAAAGATGTTAGACCTCAAAATATCTTGATGAAATTGCACAAGTACCAAAAGATATTGGTAATGAAAAGTCATCACAGTTTTGGAGATTCAAAAATTATACACATTTTCATATTATCTTGTGAATTTGTTTCTATTATTATATTGAAAATATGTTATAGTAAAATTATATTTTAGGTGAAACAACTTGATGAGCTGGTTACAGAGATGAGTGGTTTTCAAAGGTGAGTTCAGCTGCTAAGTCAGGAATGTAAAAGCAAAGGTGGTATATTTAAATTCGATGACGAGGAACCCACTTTGAGACTAATAATGGCTGGAGATGGCTTGAATGGGTAATGAAGAAAAACTTTAATATAAGTTTA